CGAGCGCGCAGCCCAGTCCGCCCACCGAGCCTCCCGCACCGCGGAGCCCGGGCGCCGCCGTGCGCGCTAGCCTTTCCCGCTGAATGTCACTATTACCATAGTAAAGGGAAGGGCCCCGCCGAGGGGGTGGTGGGAGGGCCAACGGCGCCGCAGGACTGGCGACCGCGCGGGCAAGGGCAGCGGCGGGCAGAGCCCCGCAGCGCAGGCATCCGCCCCCCGCCCCTCCCCCAACACACATACACACACACACACACACACACACGCCCGGCCCTGGGCGCTGACCCGCCGGCGACTCCACCCGGTTGGAGCCGAGGCCACACGTTCCGGGAGAGTCCGGGCCACACGCTCCGGGGGAGCCCAGGGAAAGGTGCACTAGTGGGCCCAGCCGGGTGACCCAATTGCCCAGATTTCCCCTCCTCACTAATGAAGGTGGCCAAGGCGACCCAGCGAGTTACTGCTGCAGGGCGGGAGCTGCCCCGAGGGGCTCCCCTGCGGACCTGCGCCAGCCCCACCCTCCCTTTAGAAAAGGGAGAAGGCTCCCGAAGCCTGCGAGATGCTCCATCCGCTCCCATTCTTACTTTAACCCCTGCTATTGAGGGAAACAAGCACAGGTAAACCCCAGGAGAGATGTGACTATAGACACAGACACCAAGCCAGGTGTGCTCCATAGTGCTAGCTTGCTCCCTGGCTGTGGCTTAGGGGGCGCAAGGATGGGCGTGGTAAGGAGACTGATGAAGTCTCTTCACTTCATTCCAAACCTATCATGCTTGTCTTGTAATAAAGGAAATGTTTTAGGACACGAGCCCTGTGTTATATATTTATTTTGCACCCCTATAGTGCACATGCCGAATTTTTAGAGTGCATGAAAAATAACCTGGAGAGCTTGTTTCATACCTGAGACTCTGGGTCCCACTTCCCGGTGTATCTGATTCAGAAGGTTTGGGGCAAATTTGGGGTCTGCTTAGAGGACGCTGGAGATTCTGATGCAGTGGTGCCCATGCTAGCTTTGAGAACTGTTTTCCTACTTTGTCAAATCCTTGTCCACACAGACAAGAGTTGTAAGATTTTTCTGCTTTGTGAGTGACAAATCCTAGAGAAAGTTTTGTTAAATTACCTCCGTTTTTATACAAGGAAACAGCATAAGAAAAGTTTGTATTGCCTCATCAAATCATATTGTATTAGACACCCCCGGCATATGGGAGCACACCATCCCTAGCTGTTTGAATTGGAGGAGTAGGAGATGGATTGTTGGATATATGGTAAGTAATAGCTGGATTCAGATTTGCTGATTCTCCTTCCAGAATTCTAGCTGGTACAGCAAACTTGTGAATTTAGGGACTAAAAATGGTAAGGAAAGGTGTTAGTTTGACTATATCAATTCAGAGTTTCTCAAACATTTCCAATCTAAATAGTAAAATTGCTGTTAAAAAAAAAAAAGTAAGTCTCTCTCTGGTGTTGCGAGGGTTTAAAGTGCAGCACTATGAAGCTATCCACAACTGCTGCAACACAAGTTTGATCCCAGACCAAGTTGCTGACCTACATGGCGCAGCAGACCTCTCCTGTCTCTCCTGCTGCTCCCTTTAGCAGTGTATTTCAGTCAGTCTGCCTGTTCTGCTCCCCACTGTGTCTCTGGTGAGTTCTCTCACCTACCACATCTCTGGCCTTGTACCCCAGTTCTTAAAGCATAAATAAATAAATCTTTTTAAAAGACTTAAAATATGAAACTTTGAAATTTCTTGTTTAACTTTGAAGCCTAGCCTAAGAAATATTCAGGTTTCTTGCATAAAAAGATATATCCCTATGTATAAATCAAATTCTCCAAATATACTATCTTTATTCTATGATTTCCAGCCCGCCCCCACTATAACATTAAATAGCCTCCAAATTCCAAAAAGGATATTAACTAATACAAAATCCAAAATCAAAAAAAATATATTGCAATTAGATGTCTTATGGGCTACACTAAAAAGAAAGAAAAGGGAAATTAATAAATAACTAGTGTCTCACCATATCACTTGACTAGAGAGTATGTTCTGGGGACAGACTATCTCAATTTATTTTTTTTAAGTATATCTTGTTCCATTTTATTTTTTTAATATTTATTTATTTATGCATACAAGAATTGGGGTACAGGCCAGTACCCAGATTATTTCAATTTAAGTCCCACTTCTGATTTTGAATAGCTATAAGGCTTTGGGCAAGTGACTACTTCTTTGTGCTTTAGTTTCCTCACCTGCAAAATGGACATAAGTAATAAAGGTGCTTATTCCATAGAGATGGTGTTCTCTTTCTACTGCTGTCACAACTTATCATCTTAAAACAACACCATTTGTTATCTCACACTCTGGTTTAGAAGTCTGAGCACACTTAGATGGATTCTGTAACCAAGAAGCCAATCAGCCAGGCTCTTATCTGGAGACTCCTTCCTTTGATGAACTCTTCCTCTCCCTGTCTCCACCACTCTGTCATCTTGCATCTTGTAGTGTCAAGAGGATAACAAAAGCACTACAGACTTCTCCAGAGTCTGCCCAGGCCTTAATCACTACTATACCTGTCTCCCTGGCTGGCAAGGAAAGGAAGAACAGAAACTCAGAGCAAAAACGAAAAAAAAAAAAAAATAAGAGTGGAAAAGAGGAGAAAGAGAAAGAAAACAAAGCAAATGATCTTATCATTCCTCTTCCACCTAAGATCTTTACCACAGTATTGTTCGCTAACATAGTTGTCTACAGTCTTTGACCCAATGTTTTTATTTCTAGAATTATTTCCAAAAAAAACAATCAGAGAATCACTCAAAGATAATTATATTTAAAATCGCTTCATGTTCATAAGAGCAAGTAAGTATATCTGTGCTGAAGCAGTAAACGCCAAGCTTCAAAGAGTAAGAGTGCAGTCAGGCTGCCTGCACTTGAATTCTGGCTGTGAGCTGAGTGATTTTGGGCAAGTCAGTTCAATTACCCCAGCTTCTGTTTCCTTATCTGGGAAATAAAGATAATAATAATACCTGCTTCATAAGGACTTAATTACTAATACCACAATATCATGCTGACTTATTAGAATGATTATTATACTAACATATTCATATAATTAATATGCTCATGCAAATAAAGTTTCTTCTCCATAGCAAGTAATAGAAATAAATGGTAACTATTAGGAGGATTATGATTAATGACAAATCCGCAACTCTGGCAGAGCCTGGCACTCAGTAACCAATAAAAATTGATTGAGTAAATGGATGGATGGACAAATGAGCAAAGATATTCATTGCAGTGCTATCTAGCCAAAATTTGTAAACCATCTAAAGTCTGGCAACAAGAGATTGGTTAAATATGTTATGGCCCACAAATGTAGTCAGTATTAAATATGGTCTAAAAGAATACTTACTAACCTGTAAAATGTCCTGTGATAGTAGTGGGGGACAGCAAATAGTCCATGTACTATATGCTAAAATGTTTAGTACACAGGAAGAAAATGGAAGGAATTATAAACCAAAGCTCAATAAGAGTTCTCTATGGGTGGTTGAAGAACAGATTCATTTTATACCCTTCTTTATGCATGCCTGAATTTTCTATTCTTTGCAGCGAACCTGAGCACCACACCAATTTTAATACTATTTTTAACCTCATAATTAAGAACTTGGATGTTAAAACGTCATCAGGTTGATCTTAATTAATCTTAGCCCTATAATAGAGTTTTTAAATGGACCCATTAACCTAACTAAATCTACTGCATTGATAGTATTCTAAAAGAATCTTGTTTTGTGAAGAGGCACTCCTAAATATCATCCCAATTTTTATTTTACAGGACTCATCTTTTCTGTAAGAGCTAACAGTCTTGTTATCAACAACAGCATGTCCCTGGGAAAAGCAAAGTCATAAAAAGCAAATATGGTCTTTGTATGATTTACCTATTTTCTCTTCTACCTTAGTTTAGAAGCAAATGTAGAAGTTGAAGAATAAAGCTGTGGAAATGATGATTTTCCCAGAATGAGTAGTAATGTATGACTGCCAAGCTAATAAGAATCCGACTCTCATTTAGTCTGCCTCTTTCCTGGCTCCCAGGGAGAGCCCTGTTGCAGTTACTGTAAATACTGTACTTCAGTATGGTCAGAAAAGAGAGCAGTCTGATTAATCAACTATTCCAACTAATTATCATCTATGCAACACATGAATTACCACTTTTCAAAAGATTAGGCTGTCATAAATTGCAATTAATACTGAAACTCTATGGAAGGTTTCATAATTCTTTGATGATTCAGAAGGCACTTCAGTGTCTCCCTGGGTGTCAGGTTCACCAGCATTAAAATCATTTATCCCAGTCGGACAGATGAGGGGAGACACTAGTTAATAGGAATTTTCAGTTGAGAGAAATGCAACTAAGGCAGGTTTCACTATGTTTGCAAGGCTGAATGAATGTCTATTGAACGCTTTAAGCACCTCCCGAGAAAGGTGCTCTATTCATTTGAGATGCTGTAATTATTATTCCACAGGAATACAATGGTAGCATTCTATTTTACAACAAAGAAAATTAGATTACACATTATCCTCCCTCCTCCCAGCTAAGATCACACACCATATAGTGTTACACGGGTGCCAATTACAATATCTTTTCATGCACTGTGTGTTCCTTAGACTTTTGATGATCTGAATAGGTTTCACACCAAATAGCATGTCCTGGCAGCAATCAAAACTATTTGGCAAATAGTTCCATCTTCTGTGTTCAAGTTACGCTATTTATCTAAACTTAGTATTTGTCTTACTTCTTTCAAAACA